TTTTTTTTAATCAGGGCCAAGGTAAACAATCTTCTTTTTGGTTAAATATCATTCAATCACAACATACAATAAAAAAATAATATCAAATGTTCAAAACACCATCATCACTAGAAAAGACCCCAACGCTCATATCAATCCAATTAAATTTCTCAATTCAACTCCAAAATTGCATTATTTATGTTCTCTCGTACTTAGTACTTACTGCCCTAAAATCTTATTATTTATTATATTTTTCGCCTATTTTAATTATATTTTGAATATTTGAACAATAATTTGATTCTATATTATCTACATTGAAATCTCTACTATATTTGAAGAAAAAGAAATGTACGTTTAGAAATTTCATATACATTGATACTTTTATTGTTCAATTTATTATGAAATGATATTTTACTTAGTTTTATTTTCGTATTTGGTGTGTTTTTGTGTTGTATGCAATTATTGGATGATAACAGTACTGCAGTCGTTAACTGTAGTGTAAAACGACATTACGGCTATTATCTTCCATGTAAAACAAAATTACAACCATTTGTTATGTTATGTCCATTATTGATAATATAATGTTGTTATTTTGATAGGACATGTTTGAGCCCCATTTTTTTTTGTATAGAATGCATTTTAAAATCGTAGATTGATGATAAATGTTTGGTTAGAAATGAATGAAAAGACTTTGGATTGTGTAATATTATTTTATTAAAAAATGTATAGTTGAAAATAAGAGAGAAAAATATATTTTAAAAAAAATGGAATAAAATCATAATTTAAATATGATAATTATTTCCATATTACTTTAAAATGTACATGAGAAAATTATGTAACTTTTCTTATTTTATATGAACCATGGATTCTGTAGAAATGATATGGGTACAGATTTTTTATTTTGTTGAGTTTAAAAAAACAAAAGAAGGCAAATACACGTGAAGTTTTGTACTGAATGGTCAATAAAATGTGGACATTCTTTTTTTTTATTAAAATAAAATATCACTAGTGTCATTTTGACTATTTTATCGAAAAAATATAGAAACAACGTTAAAAAATCACATATTATTGATTTAATAGCAATTAATTTCAAAATCTGAACGGTATCATTTATTCATATCGACTATCGTGTTTACCATGTAACGACGCTTGTGCCGTTTTCATCACAACGACGACACTTGTGCTGGTCTGTTGTTTTCATGTTGATTAAGTAATGAACATATCTATCAAATTTTGTAAACGAAATGTCCATCTCGCAATTTAAATGAGTTCAACTTATTGTTATTAGAGTACGGAATGGTTGTGACTGCTTATTCTCGTGGCAAAAGATGAGTTTTAAAAAATAGGGACCAAATATGAACTAAATAAGTTAAGTTTACAAGCAGCCTCTTAAGCAATCCCCTCCTCAAGGTTCCTGCTTGCCGACGGCATTGAGATAGATCGGCAGTCGACTTACTGGTTGGTGACTCCCACTGCATCTCTGGTAGCAAAAGAAAAAAAGTGCAATACATGATAAATGGTTAGATGAAAACTTTAACCAGCACTGGCAAAAATTGGGCAAAAAAATGAAACGAACAAGTGAAAACTCCAAATATGATTATCTATTATGCATCAATTTCAAGTCCCAAACTGTATTTCTGCTGTAATATTGAAGGTTCATAACTAGATACATGTTTCATAATAATTGACAGGCAATAATGTGATACAAAGAATTGTAATTGTGACAACACACAACAACATTCATTGGGGCTGCAAATCTTTCTCGGAATTTTGAATCTTCCCATTTTCGGGTTAAAGGGTGCATGGAAGTAACAGCCGATAGTTCATATAAATCCAGTTTGCTTTGAGTATAAACAGAGATTGAATGAAAGGAGGGGTATACTGATGATGTAATACATGTTTGATCATTCTGATCTTCTTCAAACTTTCTTATTATTGTGCATAGGAAACAGCCAATGATAACTCTGTTTGCATTGCCGATGAAGCACCAATATTGCAAATATAGTGCCAAGAGGAATCGCCCATCTGTCACAACAATATCAAGTTCAAAACTCAACATAACATTTGGTAAGCAATATTTAACACAAGACAGTATTATGAGCAAGATTTCAATTTCTCTCTTCTTGAATACTCTCCACTCTATGCAACCTTTCATGCCTAAATAGTAATAAAATTTCTTCAAAGTTTCAACACCAATCCAGTTTTTCTTTTCTCTCGTCTCCTTTTCATTTTCTTTTATTCATGACTTCAATGCTATAGGTGCATGTTTAGCATGCAGTGTTGCACATGACTAAATACTTCAATGCTACGAGTTCTTTTTCTTTTTAACTGTTGTCAGTCTGAGTCCACTTTACTAAACAAGCCATAAGAGGATAAGTTAATATACTATTGAAATGCAAATATTTCTGTGGCAGCACAATGTTCAAAGACAGCAGAAAGAAATGAAAATGTCTAATTCCTGAAGTCAAAATCAGTAGTAGCAACATTCAATTTGCAGACCACATCGAAGAATACAGTAAATATGTTCATCTAAGAAACAAATGATCATAGATGCTACCTGTCCAAATCAAGGATGGGGCTGTATACGAGGGTTTCCCAAGTTGCGACGATAACATGCCACACTCGGTTGTAATAAAGAGATTCCGCGGACCAAAACAAGCGTGTATATGTCTCTAAGAATATCAAAACGATCCATGCTCCCATCTCTATCAAAATAAACTTTATTACAAACCGACCCAGTATCACCATGACGAGTGAAAAGGACACCAACCAATTAAAAAGCTTGTGATTATATTTTTCGATGAATAGAGATTTTGACTTCCCTAACATCTGCATTAACAAGATAAATGTTCAAAAGAAAATATTCAGAATAAGTGACAAGAAATCTAAGAAGACAAATGAAGACAACAAAATAGTATATACAAAAATTCAATGGGCCGTAGATATTTCTTCTACAATACACTCAAAAAATATAATCTCCAAAACTTAATTTGAATCTTCATGAAGAGATTTTTTCTAAAATTTGTCAAATAAGACAAAAACAAAATGATACATCCTTAATAAGCAAGTCAAGCTTCCATCTTATCCAAAAATGTACTCCTATTTTATGCATAAAGGATTTCTGTTGTTTATTATTATTTCCTTATTTTCCAAGTCCCAGACTCTTGTTTCTGCTTGTTTACCATCCTCTTCAGTCATGCGACATTTGAGTTAATGACGATTATCTTCAAATACATTTATACATATCTTCTGTATTCATCTTAACTCAACATGGATTCACATGAACCTCCTTGAAATTCCCTAATTGCTGAGAAAATGATTAAAATCAGCACAAGACATAAATGAAGAGAGAAGAAAATTTCTAACCTTCATCATTCTAAGCTCATAGCTACTTTTAGAAGGTCCAATACATTCCCTTTCGAAGCTTTGGTTGCAATGAAGAAATCCAGCATTAAATTTGGCCAAAGATGGAAGTCTAAGGACTTGAAGCTGGTCCATTTTGTCCTCGCATTTTGTATATAGAGCCTCACACAGTTTTGAAGATTGAAATTCATTTGCCAATATGTAATTCTTGTATATCTGCACAGACATATATGTAAGCGCAAAATTTAAGAATTACTGCATCCAGACATCTACGTTCAGTTTCAAAACCTTTTCCATTTCTCCAACCAATTTCTCAGCCGATCTCTTAGCATGGTAACGACCAAAATGTTGCTCATAAAAAACATTCAAGGCTGCGTCTTTGGAACCTTCATGAACTTTCTGAAGAGAATCCTCGGATGCTGGTAAACCAAGGTTATCCATAAGATCACCGTAAAGTTTCAGACACTGATCAAGAATACCCTTATTAAAGACCTCCACAAGGGAGCCTGTCGATGGAATCTTCCCTTTGTTTAGGGCTTCAAGAATCTGTAATGGAAGTTTGTAAAGTAAGAAAAGGTATCTTACTTCAAAATGAATGGACACGTTGAATAACGAAAGGATTTAATATAAACTTTAACCAATATGGATTAGAAAAAGGACCTGCTCTAAAAAAGATACAAACTCCTTCCCAGTGAGAGGTTTACCCTGGACAATCTTTGGACGGATGATGGAAGCAACAATTTCTTTCAACCTCTTCCTCTTCTGTACGTAAACTGGATCTAGCTCATCGTCCTTCATGTCACAAAGCTTTGTACGCTGGAGATGAGGCTGCACAACAGTTCAGAATGTGCTATCAATTCAAAGATATACACGCACATGTTTAATAATATCAAGAAAAGCTTAATATAAAGCAAATGCCATGAAGAAGCTATTACACATGCCATTATATCTTTGTGCACGGGTGAAGAATTATGCAAAGATAATTGATGCCTTTGTTGCTCATAATTCATTATCAAAACATTTCAGACAAAAGAACAATAAAGTTATTTACTTCCATAAAGCTATTTCCCAAACTGATAACAATTTTCTAACATATTTGTGCAAGATGTACCAAGCAACCAGGATCTTTTTATTGCACAAAATGATTATAATTTCGGCAACCAACAAAGGAGAAGCATCAGTGATGTTTTAGCTCCCACTTTTCCCTACCATTGCACACTCTAGGGGTATAGAAATTTGAAACCACTATATCTGCACTATTTAGTGCAGTGACGACAAACTGACAAGGATGAAACCGCACAGTGGTAGTGATATATGACTTTAAAACACATATTTCACTTTTTAATCTCATTGAAAATCTTCCACTTTGCACAGTTTTTATTCTTTGTTGCTGCCCATGCTAAATTGAATGTTACGCACGGCTCTTTTCTGTTTGTTTGAACTCTTGAGCAGGAGCTTCTTCTGGAGAACGGAATAGGCATCCAGTAGCTATGTCCCTTCGCACGACATCAATGGAAGCAACGATGGGTGAACCAGTGGTGAACAGGAAGAGGGAGGACCACTCGATCGCTAGGAAGAAGCAAGCCTATTCCCCGCAGATGCCATTGCTTACTATTATGCCGATGGTAAGGAACTCAGTTGTTCATTAATTTTGGAAGTAGGCACAGGTTAAGCATTGATTCAGGAAACATTCACGATTTAGTAAGTGATTACAACAAACAGTAAAAATGTGACTTGAAATACTTCTTGATTCGGTATTATTGAAAAATATTATCAAAATTTATTAATTCTCACTCCCAACAGATTATTGTTTGAACCCATAAGCCAATTTGTCAGAAAAGCCCTCCAATTACATGAACAATAACCCAACTAATTTTATTCAGTACTTGAACTGTTCTGAAACTCCTATCAGATATACATCACTCAATGTAACATCAAGGCATCTTCTGCCTCTAAAAACCATATCAGGCAACTTCTTGGATGCAGAAGCGGCAAGCACAAAAATCTAAGTTAAAGAAGAATTTACTTTGAAAATTTCTTCTTTATGATCTTCTTAATTTGTCTTATAATCAATTAGGATTAGGAATGTATAAGCACTTTGATTAGTTTGTTCGGCAATTCGAGTAGCAATACGGTGGCATCTTATCATGCTGAATTATAGACGAGGCAAAATTTTCATTCATTGGGCTCACACTTAGACTGAGATGTAGAAATTTCAAATGGCGCAGATCCCTTCGAGGATTCTAGCATATAATTAGCCTAGTAACGTACAAAATTTGAACATAACCTCAATTCCCCAGAGTTTATTTCATCAACCAACCACCATTTCATTGCAGTAGAGCCCTTGAACCAAAGAACATAGGGTTCCTGCATCACTATTTCTCTCAAAATTCAAAGAAATGTGCAATAAGTTTATCCTAATAAATGTTTTTTATATTCCACTTAAAAGGTCCTAAAGCTAGGCATCATATAGGAGAATGTGCAATAAGTGCTACGGAACATAACAATATAGATAAATAACGAAAAAGTAAAACATACCAGCGGTAAGCTAAAGGCAGTGTTGTTAGTTCCCATGATTGCTAAAGAATCGCGGATTTGGTTGACCTGAAAATAAAACCCACATAATATCATCTTACCTCAAAATATTACTGGAATAACTCCGAAAACTTCAAACAGAAAAATACCTGATCAATATTCTTGTCCCCTGCTCACAATAAGCACCAAAATAAATTTTATTACACTCTTCTAAAAGGATAAGTTCCTAAATAAATATACACAGGCAAAGGAAAACAAACCGTCAGCATTTGGGACATGTCGGAGAGCCTCGTCTATCATTTCTTGCACAGATTTTCCTACTACATGTGCCAAAAAAAATGAAAATGAACAGAGGCAATTTTACTAAGATATTCCATACCCATGCACACCAGAAAGAACTAAGCTTCCATTATAGGGGGGAAAATGGATATCGTTTACAACAATAAGTGCATATAACATAATAACATGCCCCTTTATGACCATAGATCATTCTTAAACATCATAGGAAGACTTACATAGAAAATCACGCTGGATTAGCCACAAGAGCTTAGCTGTTTCAAAAGCAACTTCTTGCCCCTGCAGGAAACATTAATGTATATCAAAGATGATGCCTGGAAAATCGAATTTCTTTGTTTTTATTTACTGTTAAGATAATATCCTGATAAAATATTAAAAAGGTGCAACGATTACCTTCACTCTGTCAAGGATGTACATGCAAGAAAAACAAACTAATATCAGTGGAAAAAAATTTCCCCCTGGAGATAAAAGTAAACTAAATTAACCCAAGTCTATAGCATAAGCCTATGATTTACTATATACCTGCCATAAAATTCTTCAGCCAGCTCAACTGCAAAAGATAATCGAGATATATCCGTTTCACGAACCTAAGCATAAAATGAAATTAACACATTATCATAAACAGAATCACACACACACATATATTGTTCTAGTATAGACCAAGAAAATGAACTACAGGGTTTCGGGCATACTAAGATAACTCCGTTTAGAGAAAATTATAAATGGACCAATGACACTTGATATCTGCTTTTAGTTTCTCAAGAATCGTATGTGCATATCCATATTAAGTTACTAAACATGAGTCAAGATTAATACATTGTGAGTACTACGAAAAGAATGTGCCGCACAAAATTTGACATATCTATAATATGACGAGAATATGTATTTTGAATTGACACATCATCACGCAACACAGGATAATGATAGATGAGTGCTCCAGAGCGAAGTAACNTATCAAATTGGTATCAGAGCATGACGATCGCGGATCGAGTGGGGCAGTTGGAGTCGAGGATTGACGGATTGCAAGGGGAGGTGGGGGTAATGAAATTAGAATTACAGAGAGACCTTGCGGGAATGATGGAGAAGTTTGATTTAGTAATGGCGAAGTGGGGCGAACAGGAGAAGGAGAGGAAGGAGAAGGGAAGTTCATCTGAATCGGAAGCGGCTACCTTGAGTTCGGAGACTCCGAACAAATCTCATGAATTAGGCGGAATTCATGGGGATCGAACACGGCATGGGGAGAATGCTTGGGTGGACAACCTGATCCGCCGGTTGGAAATGCCGGTCTTCAATGGAGAGGCGCCGGATGCTTGGATCTTCCGGGCGGAGCGGTATTTTGGTATCAATCAACTCACCAACTTGGAGAAAATTGAAGCAGCTGCTGTATGTTTTGAAGGGGAGGCATTGGCCTGGTATCAGTGGGAAAATAGCCGACAACCATTGTTGCGTTGGGATGACCTTAAAATTCTAATGTTGCAGAGGTTTCGACCGTCGCAAGAAGGGAGTGTTCTGGAGAAGTTGCTCGCCTTGAAACAAGATGGGTCAGTCAGGGATTATCGACGCTGGTTTGAATTGCTGGCAGCACCGTTACAAGACATTCCCGACTCGGTGTTGGAGGGGAATTTTATCAATGGGCTGGATCCGATTATTAGGGCTGAGGTGAGGATGATAAGGCCGCAGGGATTGGGCCAAATCATGGAGCTGGCCCAACGAGTGGAGGACCGGAACGAATCACTCAAACGGGCCGTGACTGTTGGGGGCCCATTCCGATATAAAACAAACAATTCCACTTTGCCCAACCCAGTTGGAAGTGGCCCAAACTACATGGGTTTATGCCCTAAGGCTACTAATCAAATACCACAAACAGTACAACAACCACAGGCGGGTGCAGCGAGACTTCTTGGTCTCGCGAATCAGCGACCGGCGAGGGTGGAAAGGGGCGCGCCTTCTTTTAAACGCCTTACCGACGGGGAATTGCAGCTCAAGCGAGAGAAGGGCTTGTGTTACCGCTGCGATGAGAGGTATGTCCCGGGTCACCGATGCAAAAACCGAGAGTTGCAAGTGCTTTTGGTGAGAGAGGAGGAAATTGAGGAATCGGTGGAGGAAGTCGACAGGGATGAGGGTGAGCTGGTGGAGGAAATGGTGGAGTTGTCAATTAAATCCGTGGTAGGCCTCACATCACCTAAAACCATGAAGCTGCGGGGTGCCATTTTTGGGGCACCAGTCATGGTGCTCATCGATTGCGGGGCTACCCACAACTTTATTTCATCTGAGTTAGTTCATAAGTTGGAACTGAGAGTCACGGAGTCGGCCAGTTATGGGGTCGTGATGGGTACTGGATTGTCAGTAAAAGGGGGTGGTATTTGTAAAGGAGTGGTGGTTACGCTGCCAGAAATCGAGGTAGTAGAGGACTTCTTGCCACTGAAATTGGGGTGCACTGATGTAATTCTCGGGATGAAGTGGTTGGAAACACTGGGTAAGATGCAAGTGAATTGGGGTGCACTAACTATGCGTTTCAAGGTTAGTGGAGACACAATTGTGTTACAAGGCGATCCCAGTCTGGATAAGACACAGGTGACGCTGAAATCGTTGGTTAGAACGTATAAGGAAGGTGAACAGGGTATCTTGTTGGAATTGGGAAGTCTGGGTGTGGAGCAGGAAACACCAGCAACTGAAGTTCACAGCTCAATAACGAAATTATTGAGTTATCATCAGAGTGTCTTTGTATGGCCCAATGAGCTGCCTCCTCGGAGAGCTCGTGATCACACAATTCTACTACAACCAGGAACAACTCCCGTGAACGTCAGGCCATACCGGTACCCGTATGTTCAAAAAAATGAGATCGAGAAATTGGTCAGAGAAATGTTGGCTGCAGGAATTATTCAACCGAGTCAAAGTCCATTTTCAAGTCCGATTTTGTTGGTAAAGAAGAAGGATGGTAGCTGGAGGTTTTGCGTCGACTATCGAGCACTAAACAAGGTTACGGTGCCAGACCGTTTCCCAATCCCTGTGATAGATGAATTGCTGGATGAGTTACAAGGGTCCCGAGTGTTCTCGAAGCTAGATTTAAAATCTGGTTACCATCAAATTAGAGTCAGCCCTGGGGACATTCCAAAGACGGCTTTCCGCACACATGAGGGACACTACGAATTTCTGGTCATGCCTTTTGGATTGTCAAATGCTCCGGCAACTTTTCAGCATTTGATGAACGAAGTATTTCGCCCCTATTTGCGGAAGTTGGTCCTTGTCTTCTTCGATAATATTTTGGTTTACAGTCAGACACTTGAGGAACATCTACGGCATTTGGGTATTGTTTTGGAAGAACTGAGTAGGCATCAGTTGTATGCCAATGAAAAGAAATGTCAGTTCGGCCAAGCGGAAGTGGAGTACCTCGGCCACGTGATTTCTGAACAAGGAGTAGCAGCTGATCAGTCGAAAAGCCATGGTCAAATGGCCAAGTCCGAGGACTCTTAAGGAGCTCCGGGGATTCCTAGGGCTCACGGGGTATTATAGACGTTTTGTGCTTGGTTATGCCAAGGTAGCATGGCCCTTGACTGAATTACTAAAGAAGGATAGGTTCCGTTGGGATGGGGAGACCGAAACAGCATTTCAAGACCTCAAGACGGCCATGGTCAATGTTCCAGTATTGGCACTACCCGATTTTTCTAAACAATTCGTGGTTGAAACTGATGCTTCGGGGCATGGCTTAGGGGCAGTTCTGATGCAGGACCACCATCTAGTTGCATTCTTTAGCAAAGTGTTACCCCAGAGCGCTAGACAAAAATCAGTGTATGAGCGGGAATTAATGGCTGTGGTGTTGGCGGTACAGAAATGGCGCCATTACTTGATGGGCAGGCATTTTATTGTTCGGACCGATCAACGTAGTTTGAAGTTCTTGTTGGAGCAGCGTTTAGTGAGTGAGGACCATCAGAAATGGCTCACCAAGCTTATGGGTTATCAGTTTGACATCCAGTATCGACCAGGGCTAGAGAACAAGGCTGCTAATGCCCTGTCCAGAGTCCAGCCTGCCTTGAATTCCTTAGCCCTAACCATCCCCAAAGTGTTACACTTGGATGAAATTAAGGAGGAAGTCGCTACAGATGTGGTACTGGGCAAATTGGTGAGAGACTTACAGGAAGGCCTTCCTGTTCGGGTGGGTTATACACTGGTGGATGGGATTTTGTGTTACCATGGGAGAGTGGTTTTGCCCAGCAACTCGCGTTTTGTTACCTTAATGCTACAGGAGTGCCATGATACAATGGTTGGTGGCCACTCCGGATTCCTTAAGACTTATAAACGGGTATCCAGAGAAGTATTTTGGCACGGAATGAGAGCTGCGGTGAAGAGTTATGTGGCGAAGTGTGTTATCTGTCAGCAAAATAAGTATGCGGCCTTATCCCCGGCGGGCCTTTTGCAGCCTTTACCAATTCCTACGTTAATCTGGGAGGACATTTCTATGGATTTTATTGAGGGGTTACCACGTTCGGGAGGAGTGGATTCCATTTTGGTGGTGGTGGACCGACTGAGCAAATACGGGCATTTTATTGGGTTGAAACACCCCTTTACCGCTCCCATAGTTGCTGAGGCGTTTATTCGCGAGGTGGTGAGGCTCCATGGAATGCCTAATTCTATTATATCAGACAGAGACAGAATCTTTATGAGTTAGCTCAGGGAACCGCCCTTAAACATAGCACCGCGTATCATCCCCAAACCGATGGACAGACGGAGGTCGTAAACAGATGCTTGGAAACTTACTTGCGGTGTTTCGCATCAAGTAGACCTCGGGCGTGGAGCCAATTTTTACACTGGGCTGAGTTTTGGTACAACACTTCTTTCCACACCGCTACCAAGCATACCCCTTTTCAGATTGTATATGGTCGAGTGCCACCGAAAATTCTCTCCTTCGAGAAGGGGATGGCGGTTAACTCTTCGATTGAGCAACTCTTACTTGATCGGGATGAGATTTTGAAGGAACTAAGGGTGCAACTGCTTAGAGCGCAGGCTCGAATGAAGGAAATAGCGGATGGACATCGCCGTGACATCCAGTTTGAGGTGGGGGATTTAGTCTATCTCAAGCTTCGTCCGTTCCGCCAGAAATCTATAGCTAAAAGGGCCTTTGAGAAGCTGTCCCCGAGGTATTTCGGTCCTTTCGAAGTGGAGTCGAGAGTTGGACAGGTAGCGTACCGATTGAAGCTTCCACCTACAGCTGCTATTCACCCTGTTTTCCATGTTTCTCAGCTTCGTAAAGCCATTGGGGACCTACAGCCAGTTTCTTCCTTTCCCCAGCATTTGTCTGCCAGTGGGGAGTTTATTCTGGAGCCGGAATCCGTCCTTGGCATCCGCCCTAATCTTCACACCACAGCTGCAGGGCCAGATGTCCTGATTAAGTGGAAGAGTTTGCCGGAGTTTGAAGCTACGTGGGAGCCCTTTGAAGCCATCCGACTGCAGTTTCCTAATTTTCCCCTTGAGGACAAGGTGGATTTCGGGGCGGCAGGTAATGATAGGCCCCCAATCCGGTTCACCTATGCACGAAGGAAGAAAGAGCTACCAGTTCCTTAAGTTGTTAGTTGGTTGGGGGGTAAAATAGTAAAATAGGGAGGGCAATGTAAATAAAAGGTGAGGGAAGGGAAATAGGATGGCATCGAATTCATTCAGTAAGTTGTGGAAAGGAGGAGAGACCGGGCCTCTCTAATAGCCTTGGGATTTGTTATCAATTCTAGTTCATCAGTTCTTCTTAAATAAATCATTCCTTATTCGTGTTCCATTATTCCAACATTATTCACAATCTAATTGTTTTCCTCAGCTTCCTGGCTATATCAGAGATCTAATTCAATATTGTTCACAGGTTACTAAGCTTCATTGGGCTTCAAGCTACAACAGACACGCAGAAAGTGGGAAATTAGTTGGTAAATCCTATCATATCCATATTAAGTTACTAAACATGAGTCAAGATTAATACATTGTGAGTACTACGAAAAGAATGTGCCGCACAAAATTTGACATATCTATAATATGACGAGAATATGTATTTTGAATTGACACATCATCACGCAACACAGGATAATGATAGATGAGTGCTCCAGAGCGAAGTAACAAACCATCTCAGGTAGGTTATATATAAGCACAGAACTCATGACAGTAGCCAGGGCAAAAATCCTGAAAGACAAGAGTAACCAAAAATCACAAATATCCATTGACAATCAATTTTTTCCTTTTAATATGTAAGTTTTTAGCAGAAAAAAATAAATCGTGTACTTCAGATATTACCTGTCATCATATACATTAGATTTTCCAACACTATCAAAACCCTCTGTATCAAGATAGAAGACGGAAGTTTTTACTCCATCTATATCCAATTCCAGTGGAGCTCCCCAAACCCATATTCCTAAGAAAAACAATTAAATAGTTTGAGTTACATCTAGAAATGGCTTATTATCTACATCCTACGAACAGAATCCATATCCCAGATAAACTAGTATACCTTTTGTCTCAGTATCACGTGTGTGCCCCACACCAAAACCTGTGAAATTTGAACTTTAATCTCAGGAATGAGAAGAAATCAGATCACAAGATAACTTTGGAATTGGAAGTAACATATTACATGTCTAAATAAATAGACAGCACCTTCATAACATGAAAGGGAGAGAAGTTGATTGAGTAGGAAAGATTTTCCCGATCGACCTGGACCAATAACCTGGTAAGACAGACGCAAATAAAGTGGAATCAAATAAAGAGAGCAAATTCATGGATAGAGCAACTCAATATTTACAATGTGAACAATATAAGCTCCACGACATGCAGTCAGAGATAGAACAGGCTATTGAAAATCACCTACTCGGTAAAAAAAAAAAAAAGAATAAAATATCTGGAAAATATATTGATTCTGCTAATTCTTATATCTCATCGTAAGCACATGTGAATATACTGATTCTGACATGCAAGGAACTAAGTAAATAAGAAATTGCAAGTTGACACGTTCATGGAGATTAATCTACAACTTACAGAAACAGCTGCAATAGGAGTTGTTATTCTCTCAATTGCTTCCAAACCTTCTCTTGAAAGGCGGAGTTTTGTGTGACCAGGATCAGGTTCTATAATAGGAAACCTGCAATAATAATGGGTTGCATCAAAATGACTGAAAAGGTAGGCTCATCTCCGAGTGAGATTTGACCAGCAGCATAAATCAGTCAGCTAGACTGCCTCGTGTATGTCTCCATGTAACAAAATGAAGGAGGCAGCATAGAGTAAATTACAGGAGGAACTGGTTTAATTTTAATATCTTTTTTACACATTAGGAGGGAGAATCAGCCAAGAAATATCTAAAGCAGATCTAGTAATCAGATGAAAAGACGATAGCACATGGAGACACGTCACATGTTGATTCAAAAGAAGATACCTGTTCAAATGGATCTTGCTCTGTAAGTGTAATTTAACTATAGACCTACTATCAATTAGCATATGTTCGTAAATTATTCTTGAAATTGTCACATATCGGTAAGGAATGTGAATTCACTCCATACGTAACAAGGGTATTGACGTGTCACCTGAAGCTTTAAAAAAAAATTAAGAATGTGTAGGTGAATAAACGATACTTCATATGCCCGTGCTAAATTACCAAATAAAAGGCTAGCTCAAGAAACAGATACAAGAACCAGATTCTCGTGTATTGTGTGGTTCCTCGTGCAGTTATCATCAGAATTTCTAGCTAAATTTAGTCAAGCAAATTGCTAAGGGCCAAATTTCATATATATGTAGACATATTGCTAAGCCAATTACTAAGAACGATTTTCTCTACAAGATTTCCAGCTCAGATTTTTTTCACACCAGAAACGAAGAAAAACACAATGCATCACCAAGATTAAAGAAACCATAACGAACCCATATCAAGAAATTAGAAGCAAATGCACATGTTCGCAAACAAAAACTTACGCCTGACTAAGATTGTCAATCGAAGAGCACCCATGTACGAAAAGAAAGATAAAAATAGAAAAAACAGCGACCCGACTGAAACTCCGCATCTCTGATCTTCGAACCAGGCGTTATCTTGAAAATCTTGAAACTGTGATAAAAATAAAAATGCTACGACTGAATTTGAAATGCTGAAGGTGCTATAAGAATTAGATTTTGAAGTAGGAGAATGGAGGATCGCAAGAAGCCATGAACGATGGCACAGATTAAGAGGCGTTGACCTCGTTTAACAGCTGGATTAATGACCAATATTTCCTTTTGAATTTTGGATCTTGGAAAGGGAAGCGTGGGCGTAAGCTTTAACCAGAAATCTGCCGTGTGCGCCAAAACAGAGCTTCTGCTTAGAGCTTCAACTCGAGACAAATATGAGATGGTAAGCATGTTATATTAGAAAACCATTCGGTGGTTTCGAGGACTAGTTTTCCTACTTGAAAACAAAAGATTTAAGGAAACGAGCATCTTATCCATTTATCCCCTTAAGCCACGTCGTGAGAGTGGAGGTGGACAGAGTAGAATTTTGCAGCAAGTCAGAAGACCTGGCTGCTAATTACCACTTTTTAGCTATTTTTTCTTTTTTCTTTTATAATTCTGCATACAGCCACTTGGCTATTCGCTGCTTTTTTTTTTTTGACTAAGTTTACGTAAGGTTTTTAACAAAGAGGCTGCTAATGCTAGTATTTAGGGGTAGATAAAATTATCAAATTAAAGTCTCTTCGACAATTATTATTATAAAAAAAAGAATTTTAAATAGTAATTTTTAGGATAATATGTGGTTAAAAGTAGAATTTTTTTTTTTTGATTTACGTGTAGAAAATTTTACTGTGTAAATATATGTTGAAAATAATTCTGTAGTAAATCATAAAATAAATTAATAGTGGTCAAACATGCACTGAATTAGATCAAACCAAAATGCACTAAATTAGATCAAACCAAAATCTAACGGTTTGATTTGATTCTATAAAAAAAATTACTACTATATATATATATTATGAATCAGCTAATCACATTAAAAAAATCAACTTTTGTAAGTGACTTATTCGTATAAATTGGTGAATCATTGTTATTAGACAATCTTTTGCATGGAGTGGATGCCGATGTTTGTGTATTCAAATCATGACTATGTTTTTGTTCGTTTTATGGATGAATTTTATTACACAATATTTCATTTGTAATTTGAAATTGAATTTGCTAAATGTTTGATGTTTATTTTTTTTATTTAGAAATATATTTCTAACTTATAGATATAATGACAGATTTTAATTTGCATTTATCATTTAAAAAATTTAAGTAATGGAATCATAACCAAACTAAACCAAATCAAAACCAATAATTCGATTCTTGTTTGGATCCATATCTTAAAAAGAGTTCATTGGTTCTATTAAAAAAAATACATGAGTTCATGGTTCGGTTCTCTTGAAACCAAAATCAGGTGGAATCATGTCCACCCATGCTTGTAGCTTGCTTCTGTCGTTGGTCAATTTTTGGATGAAGCTATTTTGACATCATATATTTTTTGAATTGAATACATTTCTCTGTCATCTCTAGTATGTTTCTTTTTGAGAGAAGATTTCTACCCCGTCTGACTTACGAAATGGGATTTCGTTTGACTCGTAGGATCATCTCGATGAAATGAAAGGGGGGTTCCTGCTTGTGCGTATTGAAAGTAATATGTTCTCTCGTCCTCAGCTGCAAACTTAACACTCTAAATGAAAGGAGCCACGACAAATGTATGCACAATGATTGGATTTTGAGGCATACACATACAACTGCAAATAGAAGAAGTGTAAGCCCCCTTAGAGTAGAGATATAGGCGGTCCATTGAAGAAAATTAAAGCGAAATACAACTTAAATCAAGGGTGGTCATAGATCGGCTTAAGCAAGCTACATAAGATCGAAGTTAGCTCTTTTGATTGATTTGATCAAATGCTTGGTTTTTTTTTCACGTGCTTGTCTCTTTTGATAATCTACAGCTATAAGATTTGGAGTCAATCTAGTCTTACCATATGTCGAACTGTATTTGACGAAAAACAGAAGGAATATCCAGCTGATTTCATTCCATTGAACGCTTTCTAGTGAACTTCCTCCTACCCGAACTCTTTTGAGTACTTTAGTTTCACAACAGGGAGACTATGGTTAAAGTTTTTTTGCGAGATTTGAGATAAATCAGCTAAAAAAATGGAATATAACCTCTCCAGTTCGTTTTTGTTTTTTAGCGGAAGAGCTTTAGTAATTTCTCGTGCTTTGTTTTTGTCTATCTCCAATGCACTATATACATTTTCTTCTAGGGCACGCATCCTGCCTCTATCTACAGTTGATACTTTTGTATTCTCTTCTATCTATGAATTTTATGCTATATAGGTAGGCTCAACATTCATCTGTGCTATCAGGGACGGGTAGAGGGGGGCTGTAGGCCCCCCCAGCCTCCCCCAACTAAAAAAAATTTATGTAAAAAAACTTTATGTGTAATTTTTTTTTTTTAACGTATTAACTCAGCCTGTAATTCGGTCCTAGATGCGTCTATGTGTGCTATCACAGGGCCTTTCACCATCAATCAATCGAAAAAAGTTTTATATATTAATGAAAATTTGTGTTTTAGAGATGTCAAGTAAGAAAATATAGAAATCTTTTTAAAACCCACCCTTTGCTCGATTCGGAATCAAGACCCGTGCTGCTTTTGCTTTGAGACTTGGATCCTTCGCTAGTTGAATTCTCGCTTATCAAACTCTTCAATCAGCCAATTCAAGCACACTTTGCAAACCAAAAATATAACCATTTCAAAGATATCTAGCATTCCTTCATTATGAGTGGAAATCCAATCCCCTTTTGTCCCCTTTTTTGACATAAAAAGTTATATATTAAATTAATTGTAGAGATTGAATAGAGATAAATAACGAGATTAGAAAATTCTCCACAATCTCTATATCTCTTCTTTCTCTATTAGTTCTTGATAAGTGTATTTTATGTACTTATTTATGTTTTTAAATATGAATATTTAGATTTTTTTTTTTTAATGAATTATAGCTTTTTTTTCTTGTATATATAATTTGTTAGGTAAAACTCAATGATTGGAAGTGAATTTAGAAGAAATGGACAAAAAAATGATGATTTCAAAAGTTAGAGGATCAAATTGTAAAAATTCAAAAATTGATTTGGATGAAAGAAAATGATTGGAGACTGAACGAAACCAATTGAATGTAATTGAAAGGCAAATGACTGAAATAAATGACTAATCCAAACCCCAGAAGAAAATTCAGGAACCAACTTACAGTAGGTCCCAAAGTGGCTAAAGTGGTGCAATCACAACACCTGGTCTGCAATCACAACACCTTCCTTTTGCAATCTCGATAAAGATATTAATGATGTCTGGATCACAACACCTTTCTGAATGAATAATGTTACTTGCAGTCGCTCACTGCAAGTAGAATTACTTTTCTTGGACAGACTCGTTTTTTATGTCTCATTTCTTAACTTGTTTTATTAATTTTTTAAACAAATTGTTCGTTTTTGGGCTTACTTAGTTATTTTATCTTTAAAAATAAATAAATTTATCTAACTTATTGATGGCTCAGCTTGGTTTGTGAACAATTTGGCTCGTGGGCATTTGACTCGGCTCGTGGACGACTTGACTCGTTTGAACGCATGGGCTCGGCTTGTGAGGCCAAAGAACTTAGTCCCGAGCACAGCCCATATTTTTGGCATTAGCCGAGCACGGCTCCTGCCCAAACGAGTTAGGGATGACCTGAGCTCATGGTTGTAAGGATAGAGTCTACTCGACTTGAATCATTGCTACCTCTAAGTGCGCAACCTGGTTCTTGAAATAGATGATGCATCCCTAATCCTAAAGTCTAAACAAATTCATCCTCTTGTCCTTGAAACATATGTATGGTTATTTTAAACTTTTCTTTCTGCACGAATTATTTTTGTGTATGCAACATTATCTAATAATTGATTAGTCAGTCAGCTAAGCTGTTAGGTGGAAATAAACAAATAAATGGTAATCATTGACTTCATAAATTTGAATTAGGTAAAGTCAAGTCCAACACTAAACACAAATACGAACATAATCGCACAAGCAAGCAAGCAAGCCAATTTACAACGATCAATGCATAAAGTACAAGAACATTAAATACGTTATTTATAATCATCATATATCAAGACTTATAATCATATCTTATAGATCAATCGCAATCAAATCAGCTAGTTCCATCAAGTTTTCTTTTTTCAACGAATCCACAAATTTATGATTTAAAGAAATCAAATTCACATAATTTGGAGAAACATATAAAATAATAAGTCTAATGGTTAAAGGAATAATAATTGTTAAATTTTTTATTTTTTTCCCTCAAAATAAAAAATTATTTTCAACAAGTTAAGAAGAAAGACGTCGGCTAAAAATTGTATTTTTATTAGATTCTGGTAAAAAATGATGAAATACGTGATTAAAAAGTTGATAAAAATTATTGGTCCTGTAGGGTTAAAAATGAAATTGAAAAAAAAAATGATTTTTAAAAAATTGAAGCCAAACAAGGTCTTAATATAAATGAATTTTTTTAACATTTTGTATGTCTAAAAATAAATTTCTCAAAAGTAAATCAAAATTGTTCAAAAACATTTATATATGAAATAATATAACTTTAGATGGTTTTCTTAGTTTCTTTTTGTGATGAATTGAAATTTCGTGAATAAAAATAACTTTAAAAGTACCAAAAGAAAAGGCAACAAGCTTTAATATTTCATATCAAAATTGAAAAACATAGATTTAAACAAAAATACACTAACAGTCTAACTTCATTCAATAACGCGAATATGTACAGTACTAACCTAAAAAGGATAAACAAATCAGTGGCTTAAAAATTTCAATTCTTCCAAACTCCAAATCAAGGAAAATCGAGATCACGAGAGGAAATCTTACATAAATCAGGCACAAATAAGATCAAGAGTTGCTTCAACTATTTTTTCTTTAAAATTTTCTTTCCCAAATCTGCACATAATAAACTAAAATCTACATGTTTTTATGTTTTTGATTTTTGATTCAATTAGTTCATTTTTTGTTTGATTTTGATATTGTTGAGATTTTTTTTTTTTTTTTTTTTTGTGGCGCTTATGAAATTTCGTCTTTATATTAATAATTTTGAGTTAGTATATATTAAAATTTAAATTTTTATTAATTGAATTGAGCTAATATATACGAAAAATCAATTTTAGATCAGCTTCAGTGATACGTGTAAGGTGTTTGTGACAATGAGAATGGAAAAATGATACTCTTTGTCATTTTTTATTTTTTTTTGGAAAATGTCCGTGTATCTCATTTGAATTCCTTTAGATTAATTAAACCAATGCATACATGTGTATTCATGAAAATTTAAATATGAATATGAACTGAAATCTTGTTTTACATTAAAAAGTGGCACGAAATTTGAAAGTTACATTCTCTATTCACACTTTTTTCTAAAAATGTCGTAGTTTATCTCATTTGAATTCTTTAGGATCAATTAAAGAGATTCATACGTGTGTGTTTGTGAAAATTCGAATATGAATATGAATTCAAACATCGGTTCACATTAAAAAAGTGACTTGATATAACACTTTATTTGTATTTTTACATTAGATTTAATCTACTGAAAATTAAAAGTGATATACTTTATCACTTTTTCTTCAATAAGTCTCACGTTATTTTGTTTGTATTATTTTTCCAGATATAGGTAAAATTAATGTCTTCATTTGTAATGAGGCAAATAGAGATAAAATAACAAATATAAAAGTGACAAAACGTAAATTGTCATCTCGATAGATTGCACATACAACAATCTTTGTTAAAAGGTAAATGTCGTGTCACTTTTTTTTTTTTTAAGAAACTAAATTTTGACAATGTTAAATTGTCACATTTGTCATTGATGTGCAATTCTATCAATTTAATGGGGCCAAAAAAATTAAACAAACAAGTGAAACTACAAATATGATTATCTATTATGCATCAATTTCAAGTCCCAAACTGTTTTTTTTGCTGTAATATCGAAGGTTCATCACTAGATACCCTTATGTAGGATGTGATGTACACTTAACATTTTCCGTTTCATATTAATTGACAGGCAATATTCAATAAAGTGATACAAATAATTGTAATTGTCACAACTCACAACAACACTCATTGGGGCTGCACATCTTTCTTGGAAATTGTAATTTTCCTACTTCCACTGGCCATAGCATCGCCAGCGAAGCAGCAATATTGCAGATATAGTGCCAAAAGGAATCACCCATCTGTCACAATAATATCAAGGAAGTTCAAAACTTAACATAACATTTGGTAAGCAATATTAAACAGAGACAAGAAAGTATTGTATGCAAGATTTCAATTTCTTTCTCTTCTTCAATGCTCTCCACTCTATGCAACCTTTCATGCCAAAGTAGTACCAAAATTTCTTCAAAAATTCAATTCTTATTTTCAACACCAATCTAGTTTTTCTTCCCTCTCGTCTCCTTTTCCTTTTCATTTATTCCCGATTTCAATGCTATAGGTGTATGATTAATATGCAGTATTGGACATGACTAAACATTTTAATGATATAAGTTCTTGTGAAAGTCCACTTTGCTAAATAAGTCATAAGAGGATAAGTACTAAAAAATGCAAATATTTTTGTGGCAACACAACTCGAAAACATCAGAAAGAAATGAAAATGTCTCATTCATGAAGTCGAAACAGTAATAGCAACTTTCAATTTGCCGACCACATCGAAGAATACAGCAAATATGTTCATCTAAGAAACAAAAGATAGTAGACGTTACCTGTCCAAATCAAGGATGGGGCTATATACAAGGGTTTCCCAAGTTGAGACGATAACGTGCCAAATTGGGTTGTAATAAAGAGATTCCGCGGACCAAAACAAGCGTGTATACGTTTCTAAGAATATAAAAAGTATCCATGCTCCAATCTCTACCAAAATAAACTTCATTATAAACCGACCCAGTATCACCATGACGAGTGAAAAGGCCACCAACCAATTAAAGAGCCTGCGATTATATTCTTTGATGAATAGAGATTTTGACTTCCCTAACATCTGCATTATTGAGATACACGTTTAAAAGAAAATATTCAAAAGAGGTGACATGGAATCTAAGAAGACACATGAAGCTCCTTGAAATTCCCTAATCGCGGAGAAAATGATCAAAATCAGCACAAGACAAATGAAGAGATAAGAATATTTCTAACCTTCATCATTCTAAGTTCATAGCTAATTTTAGAAGGTCCAACACATTCCCTTTCAAAGCTTTGGTTGCAATGAAGAAATCCAGCATTAAATTTACCCATAGATGGAAGTCTAAGGGCTTGAAGCTGGTCCATTTTGTCCTCACATTTTGTATATAGAGCCTCACACAATTTTGAAGATTGACATTCATTTGCTAGTATGTAATTCCTGTATAACTGCACAGTCAGCACAGACATATCAATAAGCACAAAATCTAAGAATTGCTGATGCCAGACTTTTAAGTTCTGTTTCAAAACCTTCTCTATTTCTTCAACCAATTTCTCAACCGATCTCTTAGCATGGTGACGACCAAAATGTTGCTCATCAAAAACATTCAAGGCCTCATCTTTGGAACCTTCATGAGCTTTCTGAAGAGAATCCTCGGATGCTGGTAAACCAAGGTTACCCATACGATCACTGTAAAGTTTCAGACAGCGATCGAGAATACCCTTATTAAAGACCTCCACAAGGGAGCCTGTCGATGGAATCTTCCCTTTGTTTAGGGCTTCAAGAATCTGGAATGAAAGTTTACAAAGTAATAAAATGAATCCTACTTCAAAATGAACAGACATGTTGAATGTCGAAAGGATTTAATATAAACTGAAACTAATACGGGTTAGAAAAAGAACCTGCTCCAAAAAAGATACAAACTCCTTCCCAGTGAGAGTTTTACCCTGGACAATCTTTGGACGGATGATGGAAGCAACAATTTCTTTCAATCTCTCCCTCTTCTGTAAGTATATTGGATCGAGCTCATCGTCCTTCATGTCACAAAGCTTTGTGCGCTGGATATGAGGCTGCACAACAATTCACAGATACACACAAGCGCGCGTCTAATAATGTCATCAAAAGCTTAATATAAAGCAAATGCCATGAAGAAGGTACTACACATGCCATTATATGTGTGCCCATAGGAAATTGAATGTTAAAGCTTATTATGCCGATGGTAAGGAACTCAGTCATTTGTTGATTTTTGAAGTAGGCACAGATTAAGCACTGATTCAGGAAACATCTGGGAATAAGTGATTACGACAATCTGTGAAAATGTGACCTGAAATACTTCTTGATTCGGTATTCTTGAAGAATATTATCAAAATTTATTAATCCTCGCTCCCAACAGATTATTACTTGAACCCATAAGTCAATTAGTTGAGAAGACCTCCAATTACATGAACAATAATCCAACTACTTTTATTCAGACCTGCACTCTTCAGAAACTCCCATCAGATCTACATCAGTCAATGTAACATTACAGCATCTTCTGCCTCTCTAAACCATATCAGGCAAGCTCTTGGATGCAGAAACAGCAAGCACAAAAATTCAAGTTATAGAAGAATTTACTTTGAAATTCTCTTCAATATTGAATTTCGTAGGAATCGAGAACTTGACAGACTTACTCTTTCGATGATGTTTATTTTTACATTACCCAAAGATCATTCTCCCATTCTCAAAACAATTAATTGCAAAATAATGGTTACCAGCGGAAGCGGAAAGAGGTCCAGGGTTCAACTTAAGAGAGCTAGTCCTCAACGATTTATAGACAAGGCAAACTTTTCATTCATTGGGGTAGCACTTAGATTGAGATGTAGAAATTTCAAATGGTGCAGATCCCTTCCAGGATTCATTGGTAGTTTCTACTTGTTTTCGGAGTTTTTAATATGCTAGATTTTAGCATATAATTAGTTAAGAAAATTACGGAATTTGAACAAAACCTCACTTTCCAGAGATTATTTCATTAACCAACCGCCATTTCATTGCAGTAGAGCCCTTAATCCAAAGAATATAGGATTCCTGCATCACTATTTCTCTCAAAATTCAAAAAAACACGCAATAAGTTTATCCTACTAAATGTATTTAGTATTCAACTTAAAATGTCCTAAAGCCAGGCATCATATAAGAGAATGTGTAACGAGTGCTACAGAAAGATAACGAAAAAGCAAAACATACCAGCGGTAAGCTAAAGGCAGTGTTGTTAGTTCCCATGATTGCTAAAGAATCGCGGATTTGGTTGACCTGAAAACAAAACCCTCATTATATCATCTTGTCCCAAAATATTACTGGAAGAACTTCGAAAAATTCAAACAGAAAAATACCTGATCAATATTCTTGTCCCCTGCTCACAATAAGCACCAAAATAAATTTCTATTACACCCTTCTAAAAAGATAAGTTCCTAAATAAATATACAGAGGCAAAGGAAAACAAACCGTCAGCATTTGGGACATGTCGGAGAGCCTCGTCTATCATTTCTTGCACAGATTTTCCTACTACACGTGCCAAAAATGACTAAAATGAGCAAGAAATTCAATAAATTGCAAAATGGAGCATTTGAGGAAAAAAAACGAAAAAGAAAAAGGATAGAGGCTATTTTACTAAGATATTCCATCTAAAAAACAACGACATGCACACCAGAAAGAACTAAGCTTCTATTATGTTGGAGGGTGAGGGTGGGGGTGGGGGGGATATCGTTTACAACAGTAAGTTTATGCCCAAAAAATATAGCATAACAACATGCCACTTTATGCCCATAGGTCATTCTTAAACATCACGGGAAGACTTACGAAGAAAATCGCGCTGGATTAGCCACAGGAGCTTAGCAGGTTCAAAAGCAACATCTTGCCCCTGCATGAAACATCAATGGATAGCAAAGATGATGCATGGAGAATCTCATTTCTTTGCTTTTATTTACCTTTTAACATGTTAAGATAATATCGTGATAAAATATTAGGAAGGTGCAATGATTACCTTCACTCTGTTAAGGATGTACATGCAAGAAAAACAAACTAATATCAGGGGAAAATTTTGGAAATTGGGATTAAAGTAACTTAAACTAGCCTTAAGTGTATAGCATTTGGGACACTTCAGTACTAAGCCTACGAGTTACTAAATACCTGCCATGAAATTCTTCAGCAAGCTCAACTGCAAATGATAATCGAGATATATCTGCTTCACGAACCTAAGCATAAAGTGAAACCATCACATTATCATAAACTGAATCACATAAGTTACAAAATATTAGCCAGGACTAATACATTGTGAGTACATAATATCATTATGAAAATAATGTGTTGCACCAAATTTGACAGATTCATAACATGACCAGAATATGTATTTTGACATGACACATCATCAAGCAGAACGGGGTAATGATAGATGAGTACTGCAGGTGAAGTAACAAACCGTCTCCGGTAGGTTATATATAATCACAGAACTCATGACGGCAGCCAGTGCAAAAATCCTGAAGACAAGAGTAACCAAAAATCATAAATATCCATTGCCAGCCAATTTTTTTCCTTCTAATATGTAAGTTTTTAGCAGAAAGTAGTAAATCTTGTACTTTGGATATTACCTGTCATCGTATACATTAGATTTTCCAGCACTTTCAAAACCTTCTGTATCAAGATAGAAGACAGAAGTTTTTACTCCATCTATATCCAATTCCAGTGGAGCTCCCCAAACCCATATTCCTTGAAAAAACAATTAAATAGTTTGAGCTACATCTAGAAATGGCTTGTTATATACATCCTGTGGACAGATGACATATCCCATATAAATCGGTATACCTTTTGTCTTAGTATCACGCATGTGCCCTACACCAAAACCTGAAAAATTTGAACTTTAACCTCGGGAATGAAAAGAAAAAAATCACAAGATAACATCCGATCCAGGATCGGACTGGGGCTAATATGTAGAATAAAATAAATTTGCACATGATTTTTTATTTCACACTCAAAAAAAATGAACGGGCTGAAACTAGACCGGGCTACAGCCCAACCCGGCCAGCCTAATCCCCCTAAATCCATCCATGATCCACAATAACATGTTACATGCCTAAATAAATAAACATTACCTCCGTTACATGAAAGGGAGAGAAGTTGATTGAGTAGAAAAGATTTTCCTGATCGATATGGTCCAAGAACCTAGTAAGACAGACGCAAAAAAAATATAATATGGAGTCGAGTGAAGAATGCAAATGCATGGATAGAGCAACTCAGGCAGACTAGTTATGGGAACAATATAAGCTCCATGACTCATAGTCAAAGATAGGACAGGCCACTGAAAACCAAACATTTTATGCGTCTCACAACTTTTCAATCAAACATTTCGTCAACTTCTATCAAAATCTACTGAAAAGCTGATTTTAATCCCCACCAAACAGGGACTAAATATCTGGAAAATATGTTGATTCTACTCATTCTTATATCTCATCGTAAGCACGTGGGAAATTACTGATTCTGCTATGCATTAGAAACTAATTAAATAAGAAATTGCAAGTTGACACATTGATGGAGACTAATCTACAACTTACAGCAACAGCTGCAATAGGAGTCGTTATTCTCTCTATTGCTTCCAAACCTTCCCTTGAAAGGCGGAGTTTTGTGTGACCAGGACCAGGTTCTAATATAGGAAACCTGCAATAATAACGGGTGGCATCAGAAAGGCTGAAAAGGTAGGTTGCCTTCTCATCTTATTAGAATCTCACATTGATTGGGAAAATATAAATGATCCACTTAATAAGGTGAGGGCAATCCTCCCCTAATAAGCAGGTTTTATTAGGTGGAATTAGGCCCAATATTCCTAACATGGAAGCAGAGCTAGGCCCAATTATGTAATGTTGGGTGCTACACAATATCGAATTGTTCAAAGTTGTTTGGCATGGTCTACGCTGTGCGTCCGGTTTTATTAGGTGGAGTTGGGCTCAATATTCCTAACATGGTATCAAAGTTAGGCTCAATTATGCAATGTTGGGTACCACCCAATATCGATTTGTTCACAGTTGTTCGATATGGTCCACGCTGTGCGTGAGGGGGCGTATTAGAATTTCACATTGCTTGAGAAAATATAAATGATCCACTTAATAAGATGAGGGTAATCCTCCCCTAATAAGCCGGTTTTATTAGGTGGAGTTAGGCCCAATATTCCTAACAATCTCCTAGTGAAATTTGGCCAGCAGCAGAAATCAGCGGGGTAGATTGCCTTGTGTGTGTGTGTCTGCATGTATCAAAATGAAGGAGGCGGCATAGAGTAAATTACAGGAGGAACATTGATTTAAATTTAATAAACAAAAACTTACGCCTGATTAAGATTGTCAATCGAAGAGGACCAAGATACGAAAAGACAGATAGAAATAGAAAAAACAGCGAGCCGACTGAAACTCCTCATCTCTGATCTTCGAATCGAACCAGTCGTTATCCTGAAAATCTTGAAAATGTGATACACTTGTTATTACAGGTAAAAGTACATGATTGTATAGAATAAGGAACCACCATTACAGAAGAAAATACACAAAAAAGTAGAAAGATTATAAAAAAAAATGCAATGACTGAACTTGAAATGCTGAAGGTACTATAGAAATGAAATGGATGATCTCGAGCAGCCGTGAACGAGGGCACAGATTAAGAGGCGTTGACTCTGGTTTAAAGGCTGGATTAATGAGTAATAATCAGTTTTTCTTTCCCTGCTTTCTTTTCTTCTTTGGAATTCTGGATCTTGTAAATGGGAGCGTGAGCGTAAGCTTTAACCAGTAATCTGCCGCGTGCGCCAACACAGGCTTCTGCTTATAGCTTCAGCTCGAGCCAAATAAGAGATGGTAAGCTTGTGTATTAGAAAATGGAGGTGGACACTGGACAGAGTAGAATTTCGCAGCATGTCCAGAAGGAAAAGAATTCTTGAACATCTGGTTGTTACAGTCCATTTTTTAGCTATATTTTCTTTTTATTTCTAATTTTATATACACCACTTGGCTAATTGGTTAGAAAATATTCTTTTATAACTCTTTATATATTAGTTTTGTTGTTGATATTAAAGGGAGAATTAATGCAGTCAGAAAACTTCTCCATAATCTCTGGATCTCTTCTTCCTTGGTTCTTTCATAAACATTTCTTTATTATGGTCCGTTTCACATGGTTATTTTTTTATTTAGACTTTTTGCAAAAGAGTTTTACGAGAAAGCCACTTAATTGATATTTGGAAACGACTTTTTAAAAAAGTTATCACTTACCGAAAAGTTTTTACAGGAAACCATATTAGGCAAACTTACTCTAAAAATTATTCTAATTAGAAGAAGCACATTTAAAAAATTTATCAAACGGGTACAAAAGTAGCTTTTGAATGTTAAAAACTCCTTCTAGTTTCTAAAAAATCATGCCAAACGAGTTCTTAGTCGTGCTTGGAGTAGCTTTTTTAGTTGATTAATGTCATACAAGTTTGAGTTCTATGTAATACCTCGTATAGGGATGACAAAAAAACTCATCAACTTCGAAACTTGTGGAAGGATTACCAGTTTAATTAGGTATTTGGGTCTGGGACAGGGTGAGGGACTTTGCCCCGAGAGGGTGCGGGGATGGTACGGGTAACAAGGGTCATGTCCCATTTAATTTTTTATTTTAAGAATTCAATACTTTAAATGAAAAACTCCAGAAAATTTCATTAGTTCTAATAGAAGATAGTAACTAAAATTATCTAAAAAATATGCAAAATAATAAAAGTCTTAGTTTACCAAATATATTTAAATAATTTAATTTAAATAATTTAACTTTTAAAAATATATTATTACCTCATTTTAATGAACGAAGGCAATAAGAAGAATTATCAAAAACTTAAAATAAATAAATTAATTAAACGGGACAATGACCCCGCCCCCGTCTTAAACGGGTAACGGGACGGGAATTACTCGGCGGGGTGAGAGGCAGGGCAGTTGCCCCGATCCATCCCGTTGTCATCCCTAATCTCATGAATTCAACAACAGAAAGCTTGAACGAACGACATGTTAAAATTTATTCTTATCTATTTACATAGTAGGTTAATATAAGTAGTTAACTTTTTTTGGATTCGTAGGAGCTCGAGATCCACTCGTGCCAAAACGAGCTTGAGAGGGACGAGCCGAGCTCTTGGTTGTAAGGGCAGAGCCGCCTGCCTCTTGAATTATTGATGATGCATCCTAAGTCTGAAGCCTGAACAAATTCATCCTCTTGACTTTGAAACACGTTATAGTTATGTGGAAATTACACCATCTCCTATATTTGAAAATTCAATTTCTAAAATCAAATTTGGTGTTTTAAGTTTCAAAAACCAGATATTTAAATATATAGATACAAATTTTTTACATTTAATTAAATATTAAAAAAAGTATTATGAAAATTAAATTATATACACCCCAACCCAACCCTAAAATTATCACAGCCAGTTTCTCGTCATTCTCTCCCCTCTCACGCCTCTCTCTCTCTCTCTCTCCCCGTCTCTCTCTGTGGTGCTGGCTGGTGGTGGCGAAGCCGGTGGTCCTCCCCTCCTCCTCCTCCGGCGGTTTTTTAAATCGCAACAGCGTCGTGCAACGCTGCTGCCCTTATTCTCAACAGTGTCACGACGCTACTGCCGGCGTCACAGCAGCGTCGCAACGTTGCCCTGGTTTTTGTCAGTCGATCAGCAACTAAGCTGCCCTAGTCACGAATTTGGGGATCAAATTTCGAGGCAATTGGGTCAATTAAATGTATACCCACTGTCGATTGTGTGAGAATTTCATTTTCCCCATGTGAATTTGTGATTTTAATGGTGTTTGCGTGGTGGTTTGGAAGTTGGTGGTGGTTTGTAATTGGTTGCGGTTTGACGGTGAGGTGGTGCCGGCTTGCTGGCAGCTGAGGCGATTTTTATTTTTATTTTTTAATGGTGGTGGTGCGATGCAGGCGTTGGTCCGGTGGTGTGGTGAGGTGCGGGCGGCAGTTGTTCGAATTGATTAATTGTTTAAGACCTTAAAATTCGAACTGTGACTCAAAATTAAATAAGTTGTCGCCGAAAAATTTACCTATGATCATTTGAAAATAACCTGTGATCCCTATAAAAAAAAAAATAATAAATAACTCGTGACTATGAACAAGATTTTGATTTGTGACCTGGACTGTGACTTGTGACTTGAGTTGTGACTTATGACCTGAGTTGTGACTTGGACTGTGACTTATGACCTTAGTTGTGACATGGACTGTGACTTGAGTCGGAGCAGTCGCCGGAACGACCACCGAAATCGGAGTAGTTGCCGGAACGATCGTCGGAGTAGGCGCCAGAATCGGCACCAAGAGATGGCCGGAGCAGTCGCCGAAAAAGTCGTCGGACCGGTGGGGGTGGTGGAGGGGGTGGGTCAATTGTGTGTGTATATATATATATATCTTTTTATATATTTAAATACATAAATAAATATTTATAAATATGTGTATGTATAGGTCAAAAAATCTGATTTTTGAAATGTGAAAGTTGTTTTGTTATTTTTGAAATAGGGTAAAGGTAGAGTAGGAGAAATTAATTTTTCCCTATAGTTATTTTAAACTTTTCTTTTTGAATGAATTATTTATGTGTAAATCGTTGACTTTGTCAGTCAATGATTAATGCATAAAGTACAACTACATTAAAATATATCAAGATTTATGATCATATCTTATAGAGTTTTTGTATAAAATTTTTAGTAATTTAACTTTAATATTTTTAGTAATTTTTTTAACCTTGATAATTTTCGACTTGAAAGCCAACATGTCATAGTAAAGTGTGCAGACGAGTCGATCCATAGCCTCCATTTTTGAAATGAGAGCGGTATGCGATGAACAAGGACTCGATCCCGAATGTTGAAGGATGATTATTGAAAAAAGCTTGATCAAGTTACGTACTTGGTCCGATAGGAATCAGTTTTTTAGGTATGAAGAAGTAATGGCACCTAAAGTATACACAAATGGATGATTTGAGGATATCAAATTCACATAATCCGGAGAAACATGCACGATAAAGGAGGCATTTGGGGGTAAACTAAAATTCATGCAGCTAAATTCTTAAAGAATTATTAACAGTAAATTTTCTAAAATTGTTTGATCTTTCGCTGAAAATAATGAATTCTTTTCGACAAGTTGAGAAGAAAGATGTTCATTTGATGATGATCTAACTTAGTTCTTGATTGGTTAGACTAAAAATTATATTGTTTAGTAAATTTTAAAAAAAAGTATTAATTTCATAAAATATGTAGTTGAAAATATTTGAGAAAAAATAAAGTGTAAAAAGTTGGGGTCAAACGAAGTCATTTAACCCTTGTTTGATCCCACTTTCGGAGAAAATAATGTATTTTGGAATAGTATTTTTTTTAGAATGTGTGGTTAAAAAATAGAAAAAAATTCGATTTACGTGTAGACTTGTTTTATTGGAGAATGTTTGGTTGAAAATGAGTTTTGAAAAAATGATATTTTGACAAAATGGGGCTCAAATAAGGGCTTAATATAAATGTGTTTTATAACTTTGGCGTGTTTGAAAACTTTAAACCGCGCAAGTGATAATGAATAGTGTGATCCAAAACTTAAAAGTGTGTTTGATTGGTATGAAAAATATATCGCAGAAAAGAAAAATATTTTCCTTATTTTGAGGAAAACAAAAACCTACTCCCCCAAAGAAAATGTTTTTCTTAAAGACAAGAAAAATTAAGCATATTTTTAAAAGTTGAAAAATATTTTCCATGGAAAAATAGCAATCAAACACTTCAAGGTGAAGGTGCACCTAGTCTAGGTGGTCCGCGATCGGAATTCGTTCGAACGACGCCGAAATTGCAAATTTTCACAGACTGCGTCGCGCCTGTCGCGACAGAGAACTTCTGGATTTAATTCAGGTTTTTTGCTAGTATTTTAGTGCGAAATTGGTGGCATGGGTGAGTAGGGAAGGCAAAAAAGCTCGGCGGCTCGGACGGCTCGGGCTCGGCTCGGGAAAAGCCCGAGCCGGGCCCGGCTCAGGCTCGGTTACACATTGGGGAGTCGGCTCGAGCTCGGGCCGGCCCGTGTCCCGGGTGAGCCACCTATTTTTTTTAAAAAAAAAATTTTTTTGTAGGCAACTAAGAAAGAGTAAAAAAAATAATAAAAAAATCAAAAAATGCGAGCCGGCTTGGCCCGCTAAGGCTCGGGCCAAAAGCTCGGGCCGAGCCTCTTTTTTTTTGGTCGGGCTCGGCTTGGCTCGAGCCAAACAAAGCTCGGGCTCGGCTCGAGCTTTTTTTTTTCGGCTCGACTCG